GGCCGCTCTGTGAATGTTCCGCTTCCCTTCTGTTTGTTTCGAAACTCCCATTCGGTTGGGTTTGTTTTGCACTGCACGAGCAGAGGGGAGGAGGCGGGTGGGGGTGGTTTGCCGGGGGCGGGGGCCCACGGGGGGCCTCGGCCCTGGGCCCGAGATTAGCTGTGAACCCTTAGGAGCCCGATGCATGCGGGCCAGGGCTCTGGGGTCCCCGCGAGGGGCGACCCCAGCAGAACGCAGACTGCACATTCGCCAGTGGGTTTTTCAGACCACGGTTTTTACTGCAAATAAACCCGAGTTCTTTTCCGCGGGAGTCTCTGGCCTTTCCTGCTGGGGAGGGGCATGGGGAGCGGTGCCCCTGTCTGGAAAGCACAGCCGACCCCGCCAGGGACTCGGCACCGGGGTGGCGGTCTGGTCAGCGCAGGGAGGGGCCGAGGGCCTGTGGAGATGCCGACGGGGAGGCCATGGCGGCCGGCCCAGGCGCGGCTCTCTGCCGGGCTGTCCAGCCTGGGGCGGGCGGTTGGGGGCTCTTCAGGGTGGTGAGTCCAGCTGCAGCCGCCTTGGGCCCACCGTGTCAGCACACGGGGACTAAGATCTCACATTTCCGGAATGTTGGGAGAACTGGGCTGTAAATACCAGGCGCCATCGGGCCCCAAGAGGGCCCCGGCTTCTCAGTGTGCTGTCCCTGGGGTTCTCTAGACTCAGAGGGGCTCCTGTGCCCGCCGGGGCCGGGCGAGCAGGGCTGCACTGTGAGACACAGCCGTGCCCCGGCGCCTCTGGCCAGGCTGTTTGACCCTGAAGCCGCCAGTTGATGCTGGGAGTGAAACCCCTCCTGCGCAGAGACAGCAGGCAGAGCCCCCGGGAAGGGCGGGGGGAGCAGCCCCGGGGAGACCCCAGCCGAGCGGGCTTGCGATGAAGCGGGGCGGCCAGACAGGCGGTCGGCCAGTGGCCCCATGTGGAACGTTCGGCGAGAGTGAAAGTGACGCAGCAGCGTGAGCAGGATGTGAACAGCTGGACGATGAAGCCTTCACCCGGTGTCCGGCCGGAAGGTCGCTTTTCCTCTGCCGACTTCTCGTTAAGGACCCGTTACAAGTTCAGACACAACAGCCTGGTCATTTGCGTTTTCTGCACTTAACTGAGGTTTATGAGTGGCCCGACATCAGTAGTTTACACCAAATGCTAACTTCAGCAGACGCACGACACGTTATCGCTCAGAAACAGAATATCCATCGCAAGTGTTTCCCCCCAAATTTTTTCTCAGGGTTTTTCACACAGCCCGTAGTAGCAAGGACATTGAAATCACAGCGACTGGTTTAACCTCAGGTTAGACGCAGCCAGAGGGAGACTACGGGAACTGGAAGATAGCGCTGGGACGTGGGTGGAGGTTACAGATGGGTGGTGAGAAGGTGCCAATTCACGCTTTCACGGCCAGGCAGATTCTAGGAGGAGAGGGTGTTGGGGAGGCGCTAGGGTGTTGGGGAGACGCTAGGGTGTTGGGGAGGCGCTAGGGTGTTGGGGGGACGCTAGGGTGTTGGGGGGGAGAGGCACTCCACACAGAAATATTCATTGGCCTTCCGGAGCTCATGCGATCACAGTCCAGAGAGCCACGATCCCCTAGGACCCCAGAGGGTGAAGAAACGCAGGGCGACTCCCTTATTGACGCCTGGGCTGAAGGTAACGGGATCCTGAAAACAGCCAGCGGGAGCAGGCAGGTGCTTGCTGGTGAAACCGCAAACACGGGTCTCGAGCAGCACGGCCGGCAGGCGGTGCCCTCCCAAACTGTGTCAGCAGTAAGGGCGCACTACAGGCGTTTGTAGGCAAAAACAAAGGAACTATTCTCCCAAGAGAACTTTCTGGAAATTCTAAAGCTCTGTCAAACCAGAGGAAACCGGTCAGTATGTGGCCGTTTCAGTCGGACCGACCTGGGGGGCCGGCGAGAGCCCCCAGGCGGGACGCGGCGCTGCGGGCGTGGAGGCCCGTGTTCCGGCGCCAGCGCAGTGGCCGGGGAGGGAAGGCACTCGGCTCGCTCACTTCGCACCCGCTGGTTTCCCCCTGCGGCCCAACAGACGGCCACGCGCTGAGAGGGCACTCGGCGACCTGACTGCGTCTGCCGGCCGCGAGCCCGGGGCTGGCGGTGACCTGACTCCGGCAGCCGGCCGGGCCACCTTGGCCGAGGCTGAACTGCGGGAGGCTGCCCCTCGCGCTGAGGCCGCCGGGCCCCGCCGCGAGGTGGCACGGCCAAGGCCCGCCGGCGCTGACCTGCCCACCCAGGGCCACGCGCGCCCCGGCAGCCCGTGACCAGGCGGTGGCCCCAGCTGCACAGCCACTTCAAGGCCAGTGGAGTCTTCGGCTGCCGGAATGGGGCGCCTGCGGCTGAGCAGGACGAGGCGTGCAGAGGGGCTGTGGTCTTTGGGGGTCTGGTTGCCATCAGAGGGCCGAGCGGGTGGGGGGCTGTCAGGCCCTGGAGGTGTGACTGGACCAACGTGGGGAGCACCCCACCTGGAGCCCCCACTTGCCCTCAGCAGGCATCCCTGAGCTGGCTACATCCGCGATCAAGGAGGGGACACCACGTGCTCCCCAGAAGGGCAAGCTGTGCCCCCCCCACTGACGCCTCCCTTGTCAGCCTCAGAGGAGGGGGCGGGGAGGCCACAGGACCGGGGGACACCTGCACCAGCCCTGCCCAGCCGTCCCCCGCGATGGGCAGCAGTGGCTGGCTCCAGGCTGGCCCAGCCCAGCACCCCTCGGGCCGTGGCGCCAGGACCCTGTGGTTGCTGCGTGGCTATTTCAGGCCACTCAGGGCCCACATGTGGCTCCCCCGGGCTCCCGCCCTGTCAGCAGGCAGCCTGCCAACGCCCCCTCACCCTGGACCCGGCCAGCAAGTGTGGGCGGAGGGCTGGCCCAGGCAGGGAGGAGGTGTCTCGGGTGTCCAGGCTTGTCCGGACCACGTAGGAAGGGGTCACCCCACAGCCCACCCCACAGTCCCACGGGGGCTTTGTGGGCTGGAGCCAGCGGTGACCTGCCTGTCTCCCACAGCGTGTCAGTGCCAAGGTCTCGCTTGGCGGGGTTGGGGAGACGGGTCAGGGTTCCTCTTCCCAAATGGGGACACCAGTGGGGGCCGGAGAGGCCAAGGAGGTCCCGGATGGGCCAGCAGGGGACCCACCGCCTGGCCCTGGCTGGAGCCCGGTCACCCCCAGCGTGCCCTGCAGCCCGATGGAAGCTTGCAAGCCCCGAACTAAGTGGGGGCGGAGGTGGCGAGCCACCCGCCCGCTGGGAGCCCACAGCCCGCACACGCAGCTCGGTGCCAGGCCTGCGCGAGTCTTCGAGGAGCGCAGCCCCTGGACGCCCTCGTGACCCCGGGGCCGCTGAGCGGGGCGCGCCACGGGACTGTCCTCGAGGGGCCCCGACCCCGCTCTCCACCCTCCCTGGCGGGCCGAGCAGGAGCTGGTCGGGGACAAGTCGCAGAGCTGACCCGTAGCCAGGCCCGGCCTCCTGCCACCTCCCCTCGTCCAAAGTCCCGGCAGCCGCGCTGGTCACTTGGCCGGGGACTGTTTTGCAACCGTGGCTGATTTTCATGTGCGAGGCCGGCAGCGGGCTGGCTGCAGGGCTGTCACCCCAGGGGGGCCAGCCCCGCCTCGGGCCGCCGAGCCAGGCTGGCCAGACACGGAGTGACTGGGCTTGTGGACTCCTGGCCCCGACCCCGGCCCCCGGCCTTCCTCAGGGACGGGCGCGACAGCCTGTGTCCGTCCACACGTGGGGGCTGATGGTGGCAGCATATGCCAGGCAGCGGCTGGCCGCCTCCTCCAAGATGGCCTCCTGGGTTCCCGCTGGGGGAGGACGGGTTGCGAGGCCGCGTCACGGCCAGCCCGTGGCCACCAGCCCTCGTTCTGCCTGTCTTGCTGGGCTCCGAGCCCTGTGAGCTACTCTGGGCTCCGCAGTGTCCTCTCCGGGGGGGTCTGGTGGACGGGGCCAGGCTGCCTGAGGCGATAAGGACACGCGAGCCTGAGCGCTGCAACTCGGACTCCAGAGTGTCCCGACTTGCGGTGGCCCCTGCGACACGGCTGCTGGACAGGCAGAGCCGAGACCCCGCGCGCAGTCTCCGCTCGGTTCCCCACCTCGGGTGGTCAGTGCAGGCCGCCCGGCGCTCCGGCCC